CGGTTCAGGATGAGGTCTTTGCTGGGACGGGGAGGAACAGCAGGTTGAGCCTTGGGCTTGTTCTCCTCTCGCTCATTTTTCTCAACTGCGGGTAAAGCAGATGCACAGGTGGGTCAGAGCTCTCCACCACCCAAACCTTCATGTGAACGGTCAAAAGCTTCCTATGTAATGGCCACCAAAGCTGCTGCCTCTCCTCCTGTTTCAGCCATGTGTGATGGTCTTCCTGGAGGTCAGGGTGGTGGGATGAGCCCACCGGTGTCCAGCTGGGAGCTCTGCTCGGGTGGGAGCCCAGCTCCAGGTCTGCGTGAGATGCTGCTTTTCCTTGGGAAGAGCATAGGTCCTGCATGGGGATCACCAGATCCAAAGCATCTACCTCAATAGCAGCTTCCTTTTTCATGCAACACTTCCCTCTAGGTGCTTTGCTGACAGCTAACCTACACCATAACGATAACGGCAAAGCAGCACAGGTGAGGTTAGGTGCACAGAGGAAAGCACTGGCCCTGAATGTGGGCTGACCTCCCACCAGGACCATATTCTGCTCCTTCTCTGTCAGACCTATCACCAGAGGTAAGAAACCCCATTGAAAAGAAACTCCTCCCTGCACACACTTTCCCCGTAGGAGAACGGTAGACAAGCAAAGTGTGGCCTCCATGTGCCATCCTACTCCAGCAACCAGCGTTGAAGGACAGGGGCCATGCCTGCAGGACTTCAGCCCATGTCCAGTTGAGACTTACTGATGACATTGGCCTTGTTCTGGAAATTTCCTTTCATGTTCCTCCGGCTCTGGATGTACTTCCTGCTGTTCCTCCTGTAGGTCTCCTGGCTGATCTGCTTCCGGCTCTGCTTGTGGATGCTTTTTGCGTTTCGGATGGTGGATCTGCAGTGAATCAGAAACAAAACTTTCAGTTTCCGTCCCAGCAGCTCTCACGCCATGCACTTTCTCACTGACGATTTCCCCCTCACACTTCCTCCTCTGCCTCACTCACACCCCAACATCTGCTTTGCAGTTTTGCCTGGCGGAAGGCAGCAGGTGGATGCCAGCCCTCAAGGGCAGCCGTTGGTGAGACGTGATGTATGGTGGGTTAGGTGGCAGCCGGAGTGGTGCTTTGGAAGCAAATACTGAAGAGTGAAGCCTGGGCACAAGTCTGGAAAGTAATGCTAGGGATGGCGAGATAGAACAGGCATAAGGCTGGAAGGACGAGATGGGCATGAGGTTTATCCAACAGAGCTCAAGAAAGCCCTAGATCCCAGGTGTAGGGTTTGGCATGGCTCCCAACGCCCAAGGATCAGTGCCTGGGCCAGGGGAACAGAGAGTGGGGTACGTGTCTGCGTGCACCTGGACGTGCAGTGTTGAACCCACAGCAGAGAAACCACTGAGAGAAGTGAAAGGCTGAGCAGCCTGGAGCTGTGTGGTCACAGGTTGCTGCTGGGGAACCCCCAGTGCCGGGGACCGTCCCCAGGCAGGCAGACAGAGGCCACTGCTTTGTCTTCACTGCCAGGGCATGAGAGGTGGCTCCTGACATCCCATGGCATCATCCTCCTGCTCTGCCCCTCTCTGGTCTGAGCACACACCCCGTCTCGTAGCAAAGCTCTTGCCCAAAGGTCACCACCTTTGCAAGAGGGCTCAGCCTGGTTGCCATCTCCAGCACCGCAGGGACAGCGTTCCCCATGGGAGGCGAGTCACTGTCCTTGAAACAGGCCACCTGCCCTCCCCCAAGGGTACCAGTAAGCATCGCTGTGCTCAAATTGGTGGATTTGGGCCATTTTACACCGTCTCACACTCAATCCGAGCTCCTGCAGAGCTGGATTTTGAGAGATTTTATAGTGAGGTTGCCGTGTCTTCTTGTAGGGAAGAAAAGATAGTGGCAAGCTCTGCCCTTCCTGGCAGTTTTCTTTGCATCAGAATTAATGAGCTATTATTGCTTTTTATCTTTTTAATCAAAATTAAATCCCTTCCATTAGCTCAAATCCTCCTATCAGATTAGGCCATTTGGCAGCTCTGATTAGTCAAATCTCTCCTCACTGCTCCAAGATTCAGTGGATGCACTTAGGAAGTAAGAAAAAGGCCAATTTGAAAATTAAACAAGATTAGCTCAGAAAAGAAACTTTGAGGACAGACAAGGAGAAATACGCCTGGCTGGAGGAGCTGCTGGAGCAAGGACCATGCAGCCCCGTGCCCGAGGTGCTGGGGTGCCTCTCCACTGCTGGAAGTCGGGGAGCACAGAGCTGTTTTCCTGCAGCCCTGCAGGACCTGCCTCCTGGTCCGTCTTTGACCTGCTCACACCTCTCCCGAGCAGTTCCTCATTGCCAGGGCGAGCAATGGACACCACAAACCACTGTCTGGTTTCATTTTATCCCCTCGAAGAAGAGCTTTAGTCCTCCCCTGCACCCAGGGCTTCTCCTACCTCCGTGGAGGAGCGCTCCGGTTCCTCAGCTCACTCTTCATGGAGGTGTTCACATCCCCGGATTTCTGAAGGTACATGGAGGGGTAATAACCCGTGGCTTCATCCTTCCTGCAGTGCAACACAAAGCAACGTCGCTCGCATTTGTGGCTCTGCATCCACCACCTCCTCCTGCCTGTCCTCAGCCAGGGCTGGGTGAGTTGTTTCTTGTGTTGCTTGCCGCGAGGGGGGCTTTGACCGTCCCCCCACCCTGGGTGCCTGTGGCTTTCCCTGAAAGTGCAGCTTGGGTCCCAAAAGCAAGTAGGTAGCAGACAGAGCAATGGCTCACAGCTTTCAGGGTCTCACCAGCTCATATTATCGTCCCCGGGGGGTTTCACTGGGCGCCTGAAGCATCGCTGAGGACACCCCACCCTGTGCTCAAGAAACACTCCCTGGTCCCCGGCCCGTCTCCCGCTCCAGCCCAGCAGACCTGCAAACACCAGGAGACCCTCCCGGCCCCCCTTGCCTGGGCGCAGGCTGGGGCAGGAGGATCCCCAGGCTTTGCAGCCGCATCGTGCCCTGCTGCGATTGCACAAGCTGTGCCTCTCCGGAGCAGGGACACAGCCGGGGTTCCCCTTGGGAAAGCCCGAGTTTGCAGGGCAGGCCAGGGCTAGGATGAAAGCTGAGCAGAACGGGCCAGAATACTTAGAGGAAAAATAACAGATTTTTTTTTTTTTTCCCATCTGCCTCCTTCTTGGATACTTCTGACGCCCCCAGCAGAGGAAGCCCCAGCTGCGATGTTTAACATTTGGCAAAGCCACAGGCTACTAGAAGCAGTCCTGCAAAATGAAGTGCTGGGCAGTGGCACCGGACGGTCCGTGGCTTTCCCAGCCCCGTCGCAGAGAGCCGCTGGTCCATCCCTTCCCTCTGCCTCAATCCCACTTTCCTGATTTGTGCCTGGCCCCTCTCACCTGATGACCCACCAGCCATCGAGGAGCTTGTGGATGACTTCAATGGTGTCACCTTCCTTGAGGGTCAGCTCGTCTTCCTCCACAGCTGTGTAGCTTTTCTGGACGACGTACTGCTCACCTGCGCACAGAATCGGGACAGGGGGTTGTGTGCTGCCGCCGCAGGGATGGGGCTGAGCCCCTCTGGCCACTGACGAGAGGAAGCACCAGAGCATCTACCCTACATTTTAGGCAAGATCTGAGGTGTTTCAGGTCTCCAAGTTGGGATTCAGACTTCCCCCAGCATTGCCAGTGCCTGTGGCTCATCCCAGCCCCTCCAGCACCTCTCCAGATGGGAGCTGGTGGACGCAGGCGGTGGAAGCACACCTATCTCTGCAGAAGAGCGTGTTTATAATTCACGTGATTAAACAAGTGCTGATAGAGCCTGTTGTGGTGTTTCAAAAACCACAAAGACGGAGCCCAGGGAGCAATCAGCACAAGTCTGCGGGATCGTCCCTCTGCTCCACGCAATGTGGCCCGATGAGCTCCATCCCTCCTGGCACCTTCCGCAGCAACATCTCTGTGCCCAGCAGTCCTGCCACAGCGTGGGCTGCCCCGCGGGGGCCTTGCGATGACCCAGCCCCGCAGGGAGCCGGGGCAGGCTGCACTCTGGTGCACATCCCGGGGACCCCAACATCGTACCTGCGTAGTTGGGCTCCTGCTCTTCGGACTCATCGGGACCGTCCACCATCCCTCCTGGCACCTTCCGCAGCAACATCTCTGTGCCCAGCAGTCCTGCCACAGCGTGGGCTGCCCCGCGGGGGCCTTGCGATGACCCAGCCCCGCAGGGAGCCGGGGCAGGCTGCACTCTGGTGCACATCCCGGGGACCCCAACATCGTACCTGCGTAGTTGGGCTCCTGCTCTTCGGACTCATCGGGACCGTCCATCGGCTCCA